AAAGCAGCCTGTCTGGAGCACAGCTGGGGCATCTCCTGCCAGTCCCAGTGGGATGCCAGGGTGGGCTGGGGACCATTCACCTGGGATGGGGACACTGGAAAAGGAGGCACCCAAATACAAACCTCATGAAGCACCGCACCAGCCCTTTGAAACCAAAATGTTCTGGTTTCCAAGCATTTGGCCACTTCTGCCCAAAGAATAAATAAAGTAGCTTTTGCCTGTGGAGAGCAGAACAGTTTTAACGGGAGACCCTCCGTGGCTGAAATTCTTTGTGAGGGAGGAGCAAGCTGCTCCAAGTCCAGCTTTGCCCATCCCCGGCCATTAGCAGAGGTTGCTCAGCATCTCGTAAGAGATGAGCTTGTGGTTCCCAGGCCAACGACGACAGCATCGCTACCGCTGAGCCGCTTCAACCAGCCCCTGGGTACAGCCTCTGCTGAATGACCCGGGACTGACGAGCAGCAAGCCTCCAGCCATCACCCTCTCGGCTGCCGCTGCCTTGCAGACCCCGCACATCCTGGGATGCCGCTGCACTTGCTGCTCCGCAGGCTCGCAGCACACGACACTCCCACCAGCACCCTCCCCGCAGTCAGAGCTTTCTGCCTGGCCCTAACACACGCAGGGATGTGGGCTCGTACCTGCCCAGGGGGTCCATCACGCATCAGCCCCCCCCAGCACCACGCTCCCTTGCTGCCACATTCCCTGGGGATGAGCCTGAGCGCACCCACGACTCGGTGGTGCCTCCAAGCCTGGAGGGACTTGCTCTTTTTTTTTTTATTTTTGGAGAGAAAACAGAGGGAAGCAAATGAAGCTGGATCTGCCCCTCGCCAGCCCTGCCTTCTCCTCCAGCCGCAACCAAGTGGTGTTTATTCTGCAACAAGCTGGGGGAGAAAGCCAGGAAATCCTAAGTGACAGCTCACTCTCCAGCCGCCGAGCGCTTGTTTTCTACATGTCTGTGAGCAAGTGTGAGCTCTAGCTCCAAATTTCCTGCCTTTTGTTGGCTCGTGGCATGATTTAAACGTATGGAACATTCCCCCCCCCCACACCCCCCCCCCCCGCCTCTCTTGCCTGAATTCATTTATGAGGACTTCATTGTTCTGGGAACAATGGGAATAGGAACAGCAAGTTCGGTCCCATGGAAGAAAAACGCATTTGCTTGATAGTTCTAATCCTTCCGGAGGTCAGGACCAGATTTTATTCTTCTAAATTGCAGATTTTGCAAAAAAAAAAAAAATAAAAAATAAAAAAAAAATAATAGTACCCACGCAAAGGGAACTGGCCATACAGATAGTATCTCTGGGCACTTCCAGCTTAAGGAGCTCCCAGTGCCCATGCAGGAAAGGGTCCCAGCTCCGGACTCCCCTGATTCCCTGTCAAACCATAGGTACATCCCTGCTCCGCAGATCCCCATCCCTAAAGCAAGCCGGTCCCTTTCCCTTTATCCAGACTCTTGCAGCTGGCAGCACCTCGGGTGCCCGAGTGCTCCGACCTCATCAGCCCTGAGCTGCTCACCAGCACTGGCCATTTCTGGTAGGAAATGCCCAAAAGCTGGAGACTCCCCCCGGTCAAGCGCAGCCCTCGCCCATGGGCTGCCAGCACGCCAAAGCCAGCTCAGGAAAGAGGGGAAAAGCAAAGGGTCAAGCTCAAGCTCAAGCAGGTTCCCAGGGCTCCATCCTGAGCCAGCCCTGTGTCCCACATGCCGGCTGGGGGACAGCCACCCGTGGCCACCCAGCCCACAGGAGGGGCCAGCCATAAATCCGGGGTGTGTACAGGAGACAAAGCAGCCACGAAAGCAGTTCAGTTCTTACACGGGCAGATGGAGAGAAGCAAACAGAGCCGAACGCCAGAGCCCTGCTAGGGCACGTTTCACCAAGCAAAAAGACAAATCCACCCCAGAGGAGCAGCCTACCCCGACCACAGGACGAGGACAGCTCGAGGACTGTCCCTTCCACTGCCCACATGAGCACGGCCACCGCCACGAGCCACCGGGCGGGCACTGAGCCCCTCTCTCTGTCCGCAGCTCCCACGTGCCCCAACAGGAGATTTGGGTGGTGACGATGAGCCCCGCTGGCCCTGGGAGCCAGGACACGTGCCAAAACACACAGGGGCAGGGCCACCGTGCTTACGACAGGATCTCACTACTCAGCTCCTAAAGCAGCTTCGGTTTTCTTGGGGCTGACACATCAGTGGCCCGGGCTGCTTGACATGAGGCAAAGAGCTATCAGAGTCTTCCGACCCCACCGGGAGCCCAAACAGCGGGAACCAGAGTGCAGCTGCAGGCACAGCCCCTCAAATAAGGCCACTGGTCCCCAACTGGTCCCCAAAGCAGCACCCTGCCCTGCAGAGCCCGTGCACCCTCCCCGCAGCAACCGCACCAAGCTGGACACCTCCACCCCCCAGCCCTCCCCCCCCGAGCAGGCAGAGGTTTTGGTGCGATAACCACTTGCTCGGGGGGGCTTTCTTCCCCGAGCAGCTCTGCTTCGCCTTTTTCGGTGGAAGGCTTTTCTTTTTTTCAAGGGGGAAAGGGGCATCCGAGCATCCCGCTGGGAGCCTGCACAGGTTGGAGGGCAACGCGGGCAGCAAGAGCCCCACTGCCTGGACCCAGCACTCCAGCTCCGCTCCCCGAATCACCGGGGACGTTCCCCTCCCCCTGGCAGCTCCTAACCATTATTATAAACTCAACAAGTTGCTGCATCACGCAGTTAAGCGTGGGTACAATCCAGGCTCCTTCCCTCCAGTTTCTATTTCGGTCTCTCCCCCCAGGAGCACGGGACCGTTCCCTGCTATTGTATCCAGGCTACTTTTAAGCAACCTAAGCACAATGGAGTGTCCCGCACTTCCCCTGGGAAACCACCTTCCGGATAAACACATCCCTCTCGGAGGAACATTTTCCTGATTTCCAGCCCCTTGGAACGGGCTGGATGATGAAATTTCCGTTCTGTGGGAAACTCAATTTTGAAATATGTTTTTGTTCCAAATCTGGATGAAAAGCCAAAAATTTCTCTTAGAATGAAAAATTTTGACCGGGAGTCATCCAAGCCCTTAAATTTGATAATGTTGAACCACTTAATTTTACTAAAGCAAAAACATTTTGCTTCAATAACATTGAAACGACTATTCTGTCAGCTTTACACATTGTTTAAAGTCAAGTTGAGACATTCCCACTTTAAATAAAGCCATAAATTGAAAAGAATCATTTCAGCTTGTGCCTTGTCAGAATAGACACAATCCTGTGAAAACGGGGATGGAAACATTGTTTTGACCATTTTATAACCAAGCTGCTGGTCCTGGTTTCCATTTCTATAGCGTACTCATTTCATCCACCTCCCTGGGGTTTTAATACCAATTATCATCATCCTTCCCTGGCGTTTACACTTTAAAGAAGGGTCAGCAGTTTTGGAGCGGAGCTACTCCCGGTGCCTCCAGCCAGGGGGTTGGGTTATTTAGTTTAAATAAGGAATCAAGTCGGTTCCCTCAGCGAGACTTTGGGAAAGACAATAACAGCTCGGCTTCGGCAAGGGGACGCACTCGAGAGCTGCGTGCACGGCGTACGCCCCGCTCCCCGCTATGTCTGTTACTGAACCCTGTCCCAAAACCACCATCAGCATCCCAGCACCCCAGGATTCCCTGCTGTGTTCCCGGTGATCTTGGTGGGCACCCACGTGTGCAAACCACCCACGCATGCAAACAGCACTTGAGTGTGCAGCGATGCACAAGCCCAGCTCACGACCTGCTGGGCACAGCAGGACTCAGCCCAGGGTCCCATCCTGCTCCCAAAATGCCCACGGGATACTGCTAGGAACAGAGAGAGGTCTGGCAACCACCCTCCCACCAGTGCTCCAGATATGAGGCACATCAGCGTATTCAAAGGAGACATTAAACGCTGCCTTCAAAACTAAATTAGTTTGCTCAGGATAGACTGGCAAAACAGATAACGCTCCGGTGTAATTAAAAGCCCATTTCCCATGGCATATGCAGAATCAGAGGTAATTAAAGCTGGCTTCTCCTCCTAGGCAGAGAGAATTCTTTTTGGTACTTCTGGAGCGAAGCTCATTACAGCACCTGCCCAGCCGTTTCGGTTGCCTTCTCCTCGCACCAGCCGCTGCACGGGCTTCAGTCTAACAAAAGCTCCTGATTAGGGGTGCCTGGGTATGTTTTAGTTATTCGGCGAACGGGAAGACCAAGAGCACAAAGAAACCTGTTCCCTTTGCCTAGTGCAGGTAGAGTGGTGGAAGATCAAGGGCCACTCGTTGGCCTGGGGCAGGGAGAAGGACCGCCATTGCGTCCGCGTCTTTTGGCTGAATTTGCCCAGGGAAGGGGCTGCAGGTCCTTCTGGCAGGACCACCCTTCACTTCTACTACAGGAGGTCTCCAGGCGAGCGAAAGAGGCACCAGCTTGGCGGTCCCTGCCCTGGCATGCTCTGTAAAAACAGGCACCAGAGCAGCTTATGGCAAGGGCCACGCAGGCTGGGCTCTGCTCTGGTCACCGAGGGGACCCCAGGACCCCTGCCAGCTGGAATTCCCACACAGGCAGCGTAACCGGGCACTCGACAGGTTTTGAGCGGAGCTGTCCTCGGCATCAATCCCGGCACGAGCAGCGCCGCTCAGCTGGGCCAACGCTCGCTGCAACAACGCGCTCCGCTCTTATCGCTCCGCATCTACATGGACAATTACACACGCGCTGGCAGGGCTCCTGCCACCGGGGAAATGACGGCGGCAACTTAGCTGGCTCTGCTGCAGAGGGGCTGGGGGCGGGGACGACGATGGCCCCCGCCCCGTGAGG